CCCCCTTGACCTGTCCGTCCTCCCTGGACTGACCTATCCCCTTCCTAACTCCCTACCTACACTCACCTTTCCTGGCCCCATCCCCGCCTCTTCGACCTGTTTGTTTCCTCTCCACCTATCCTCTCCTCTATCCCTCTTCTATCCGCCTCCCACTCTCTCCCTATTTATTTCAGAACCCCCTTCCCCTCCCCCTTTTCTGATGAAGGGTCTAGGCCCGAAACGTCAGCCTCTCTGCTCCTATGATGCTGCTTGGCCTGCTGTGTTCATCCAGCCCTGCACCTTGTTGTCTCGGATTCTCCAGCATCTGCAGTTCCTACTATTTCTGATTCGATTGTTATCATATGAGCTGCTTTCACTAGAGCCAATCTGTTTTCAGCCACTCATGGTCCCCATCAGCAGTTTTTGTTTCTCCCCAGATCACCATATGTATTCCTTTGTTTGCTCAACTACTATTCTCTCTCTCTGTCTTTGGTCTCCATTTCCACCTACTGTTTACACCCACCTCCCACCTCCTCCCCCACACACCTGCCCCTCCCAGAATCAGTTCTGAAGAAGGGTCACCAAACCAAAATGCTGGCTTGTTGTGAGTTAAGACTGAGGCAACAGATTTATGAATGACCTTAACTACATTGAAATAGTTAAGATTAGAGACAACAAAATTATGGGTAAGCTTTCAGCAGCAGATTAAGTGAGCAAAATATTTGTAGTTAGTTTTGGACATGTCCTGACCTACAAAATTGACAAAACTGTTTGAGATGGCATAGTGACGTAGAAGTGTGATGGAGAGGAAGGGTCAGAATCGTGCCCCACCCAGCTCCGAACCCCTTGCACAGATCATACCTGCAAGCTCAATCAAAAGGGAAATTGTTAACAACTGAGCTAAACGAGTACAATGTGACTTTATAGCTCCCTGTCTCAGAGGGTGGTCCAAACTTAGATAATTTAACTAAAATCAAATTTTGGACAGCTCTCTGTCACCCATAATAGAAAATAAAGACTAAAATCCAACTCTGTGAAGAAGTTAGAAAGTAATAATCTAATAAGAGTAGCACAATAATGTAAAACATATCCACAGTATATGAAATAATTTATGGTAAATGGTAAGTATAATTTATAATGTAAGCATATGAGCAAAAATAATCAATTGTACTCTTTTGATAACATTGTGCTACTGAAATCCATTGAATGCATTTCCTTCTGACTAAATTAAACCGACAACATTTTTTCACTTACTGTGTAAACTGCATTGACAAAACCAGGATGTGTATTTATGGTACATAATAGCACTGGATTATTGCATGCACTGTAAATAAGATACGTTTTCCAGAATTGAAAATATTGAGACAAGAACCGATGATGCTAATAGCAGATGACATTTAGGACAAAAATTTGGTGTGATGATCAGTGTAGTTTTATTTTAAAATCAATGAAATTCCCAGCAAGTTTGAAAACCTTGAAAGACATAAAGTGAATTATAAAGTAGAGGAAGATGATACAAAGCTATCATTTAAAAGCCTGCAGCATAGAATGGTGGATACAAAATATTGATTTCAACAAAACGGTTGAATGGAAAGGAAGAAAGAGGTGAATCCTAAAAATTGTGAGGTTGTGAGTGAATGGTGGAGGTTCAGATGAAAAATAACAGTGTTATCAATGGTTAACAATATGCTATCACCATTCATTTAAAAAGAACCTCGTCTTTCTTTATTGTATTTTTCAAAATTTGCAGAGTAGTATCATTTTGAAAGATGTGCAATTTTCATCCGGTGTCACTTCTAATGTTCTATCTTTGGTTATATTGGAAAATGAAAAGATAGTCTGGCTCAAGCAACCTTCTTGAAAATGTATCTCAGGCCTTTTAAAGTTGCTTACTTAAATTAGAATCATAGAATCCCTACAATGCAGAAAAAGGCCTTTCAGCCCATCAAGTCTGCACTGCCCACTGAAGAGCATCCAACTCAGACCCAACCCCCAAACCTATTCCCATAACCCCACATTTTCCATTACTAATCCACCTAGCCTTCACACTACAGGGCAATTCACCTGACCTGCACATCTTTGGACTGGGGGAAGAATTTGGAGCATCTGGTGGAAACCCACATAAACATGGGGAGAACATGCGAACTCCACCCTGTCAAACCTCTATGTCACCCAAGATTGGAATTGAACCTGGGTCCCTAGCACTGTGAGGCTGCAGCGTAAACTACTAAGCCACCCCCCTGAGCCACTGCTGAAATCCAGTCTGATGTTTTGGCTCAGAATTGGACAAATCCAAACATAAGCATGAACTTTCATTTATGGAATGAAAGTTATTCCTAGTATGGAGAGATTGTCTTCTGAGCAAAGGCTAAACAAGTTAGTACTCTACTCACTGGAGTTTAAAAAAATGAGAGGTGATTTCATTGAAACAAATAGGACTCATAAGGGGCTTGACAGGGTAAATGCTGAGAGGATGTTTCACCTCATTGGAGAGACTGGAACCACAGGGCATAGTCTCAGAATTAAGAGGTGCCAATTTAAGTCTGAGATGAGGAGGAATATCTTCTCTCAGATGGTTATGAGTCTTTAGAACTCTTGGCCACAGACAGCTGTGGAGGCAGACTTCCTGTGCATATTTAAGGCTGAGAGAGATTTTTGATCAGTGGTGGAATGATGGGTTATGGAGAAATGCAGGAAAGAGGCAGGCAGAATGTGGGATCAATCATAATTGTCTTGAATGGCAGAGCAGGGTTGAGGGGCTGAACAGCCTGCTCCTGTTCCTATTTCTTATGGTTTTATGGGAATAGAAAAGAAGCTAACAGAGGCTGAACAGCATCCCCAAAACACCAACCAGATTTCAGCATCATGATCAAAAATGTCACAATCAACAATTGTTTACTACACCTAGTTCTTGCTTATTGGAAGTGGTTGTCATTGAAGTTCTGTTTGGCTTGTAGTGCCCATCACAAGTGAGCTCTGTCATGGATAACATCAGCTTCCTCCTCCCCAGTGTCTTTGTCCTCCTACTCAGAAGACTGTGCCTGCTTCCCCCAGCTTCTCTGTGTCCAAGTTATCACCCCATTGCCTGCTTCAGTTGGGTGGAGTATAGCACACCAGGACGATGCAGCACATTCTGGCACAAACCCCTCCCCCACCTGCAGACTGGTCCAGGCAGCGAAACAGCATCTTGAGGAGCCCTATTGTCTGCTTCGCCACAGCCCTGGTTGAAGCATGGTCTGCATAGTAACTGCATTCTACATCAGTCAGGGGTTTGCACAATGGTATGATGAGTCATGGTTGCTGTGGATAGCTCTCTACCTTGTAATGCCCCGGCCTGTCAAACACACCAAGTACATGAGAGCACTCCTGAATATTAATGTAGTGGAACCCT